CACCACCACCACCACCACCAACAATGCTTAACACTTCTGCTGCTTTGTTTCCCAGTGTAAATGGTATCTGTAAAAATCTAATTTATTTGCACGTTTCCCAGCCTTCAAGACCACATAATGAAATCACTGTTTGGTGAAATCACTCTGTTTAGGTCATGTAGTGTCTACTTTTGCAATTTTAAGTATGTTATGTACTGGCTCTTCAGTCAACTCATAGCTGACCTTCCAGTAGGTTTTCAGAGGCAGTTACTTGCAGGGGGAAGATTGCCTTTCCTTCTTTCTTGGAGCAGCTAGTGGATTCGAAGCACATGCCTTTGGGTTGACAGCACAATTCTTTACCGCTAAGCCACCAGAGCACCTTAATTTTAAATACACCTACATATTTTTCTTCTAAATATATTTCAGCATTTTTTTACTTCCCTCTGTGAGATCAGTGACTGGGGTAATCCGGATGGATGTGTCGGAGACAGTGCGATTGGCACAGGACAGAGCAGAGTTTAGGACTGTTATATGTAGGGCTGCTATGAGTCGCAGGCAACTTGACAGCACGTAACAACAACAAAAGATATTAATATTAATGCCGGTTTTGTCCCCATACATCTTCCTTCTCCCACTTCTATATTTTATCATCTGCACTTTTGTGTGGAAGAAAGACTTGATGATCTACTTGTGGAAGATCAGCCATGGAAAACTTGAGGAAGCACAAAGCAGTTCTGACACATAAGTATCCTCTTGAGTTGGCATTGACTAGATAACAGGTGGGCTTTGGTACTTTAATATTGCCAGAGTTGAAAATATTAACATTTTCTTCTATTTAATAGTTAAGGTTACTTTGTCTGTAGGTGACCTTAAAAATTGAGAAACCTTAAGTAACTTTTAGATATGATGTAAATATTATTAATTACAGAGCCACATTTATACATTTTACCTTACATTTATTTTTTTGTCTAGAATTTCTTGGAGAATTTATTTTTTCACTGTTACACATTGTGCTTTACTGTGCCCCTACTCCTCTAGTTGAAATTCATTTTTATTTTGCCTTTGTTTTTGGATTGCCTTGTTTTGTTTTGGTTTTTTAAAAAGTTCATTCATTGTTGGACATTTCACTCCCTCCTTCCCTCTTCCTTCCTCCTCCTTCCCTTCTCCCTAGTCCGCTTTGCAGGGCACCTTGCTCCTCATGGTTGTCATCTCATGCCTAATCATACATTCCTTTCAGTTGGTTCTTCCCCTCCTCTGTTCCAGTGCAGTGTCCAGTATCTTTTCCCCCCCTCTAATCCCCATCAACTTCCCTTGTCAGTCCTATTTTGTAACAGATGTTAGGCAGTACTTACTCTTTTGTGATGGAGATATTTCATTCAGCATAATGTCTTCCAGGGGCATGTGTAATGTTTTATGAGTTTATTGTTTTTCAGTTCTGCCTAATACTACATTTTGTGAATGTACCGTAAGGTTTTCTATCCCTTTGTGTTTTGATAGGCCCTTGAGTTGCTTCCATCTCTTTGCTATTGTGAATAATACAACAACAAATGTGAATGTGCATGTATTTCCTTGTTTTTTATCTTACTGTTTTGCATACTGGAATGCTTTCTTTTATCTTTTTCTATTTAGGAGAGCATATTGTTAACCTTGTAAGTATGTTCTTGTGCTCTGTTTTTTATAACTTGTTTTATAGATACATTATTATTTCCAGTATGTCAGTATACTAATTAGAGGGGGGTTGTATATGTTTTGTTTTGGGTTTTTTTTAATCATCCTGCATGGAATTAAAATTATTCTGTCCCCTAATTGATAACTTTAACGTCTATTTTTGTCGTCTTCTTTTTGTCTTTTTCACTTGTAAACACTTTTTCCTTTTTTAAAGGTGCAGTCTCTCAACATAAGATTCCTACATTAAGAAAAGAACAGTGTCTGTGGGGTTGTGGTGTGGGCTGAAGCAGTCAGGGAGTGGCAGATACAGTGGAATTTTTCTGGGGAATGCTGCCATCACCACTACCTAAGTTTTCTCCAGATAATTTGTTTGATTTCTTTTTTTTTTAATTATTAAATTTTATTAATTTTAATGAACATTTACAGAGATTTGGGGTTTTCATTCATTCATTGTTGCACTATTTTCTCTATCCTCCTCCCCGGTTTGTTGTTCTTCCCCCCCTTGAAAGTCTGTTTTAATTGTCCATTTGCCACAGTGCTTGTCAAAGCCAGTTCTGATTACTCTCCTTTGTCAGTGTGTCCTTTGCCATTCCCTATCACTCCTTCCTGAGAGAGACTTCACCCTGATTCATAAGGAAAAGGGGATGGCATATTCTCTTAGCTACTTCCTGCTGAAA